GTCCGGTGAAACAGGCCACAGCTCTGTATGGGGGCACAGGAGCACGGGGGGACGGGGGGACAGGGGCACGGGGGGATGGGGGGACGGGGGCACGGGGGCACGGGGGGACGGGGGCACGGGGGGACGGGGGGACGGGGGCACAGGGGGACGGGGGCACGGGGGGATGGGGGCGAGTGGCCTGCCGGGCTCACCCTGGCGCAGCACCCCGCTCAGGCGCAGGAGCTGGGGTGAGGGAGGTGGGTGTACAGAGGAGGGTATGGCAGAGATGCTTCTAGATTCAAGGTCATCGAAATAGCACAATAAAAGGATGTTTTCACTGGCCAACTTCCAGCATCTTCTCTCCGGGGTATGGGCTCATCGACGGCAGGGAGCCCGCGGCCGCCCGGGCCCACCTCCGTGCCCAAGGACCCGTCGGCCCCAGGGGCGGTGTTGGCCGCGCGGAAGCTGCCCGCTGCTTTCCGAGTGCAGTGCTGTGTGGGTCCCTGGGCCGTGTGTCGCCCTCTGGGCCTCTCTGTGAAGCGTGCCAGGCGGGTGCCGCCTGCCTGCGCCGCAGGTGAGGAGACAGGCAGTTCGTGCACACACTAGGGGCTCTGTCTGCCTGGCGAGCTCACGGGCAGAATCTGTCACACGGGGTGTGGGCCACCGGCCCTTCCAGCAGAGGCATCTCTTGGGGCCAGTCTTTCTGGATGCACCCGCAGGCCCCCCATCCCCCAGGGCTTCCAGTCCAGGTGGCTCCCACCCCGAGGTCGGAGCGAGTGGGCAGCCGCGGGCACTGCGTTGTCCTGGTCTCCATCCACCGTCCCTCCCACAGCTCAACAGCGCAGCTCTGAAGACCACACACCACAGGCTTTTCAAAAAAAAAATACAGCTTTTTATTGTCTTGGATGCAAGTATAGTTTTCAAACTGCATTGCAGTGTTGGACACAGCTGGTAGGGACATGCTTCTAGACACCAGAGAGAAGGCCACCCAGGGGCCGCGGGCCAGGGGCCTCACTCTGCTGCTCAGGCCACGGCGCCTGTCTCCTCAGGGAGCCGACGCAGTCACCCAGCTCCCGACAGAGAACACTGAGCCACTCACTCAGTCAACCAAAACCTGGACAAGAACGAGAGGTTTCGGCTGCGGTGTTACAAAGTGAGGAAGTGACAGTTGCCTTTCACGGGCCATGACAAGGGCTCGGACGCGGAGCAGCAGGTAGGGCGGGCGCACAGCCCAGTGCAGACGAGCCCTTCATGACGGTCAACTGCAGGACATGAACCCTGTAGAAACACGTAAAGCATCGGTGTCCCCCCGCCCTCCACGGCCCTGCCGGCCCTTCAGCTCAGCGACGCCCACAGCCAACTGTGGAACCAGAAGTTTAACTGGGAGATGCGGGTGAATTTTGCTACATGATTGGAAAGGAATTTCACAAATAAAATGCAAGTAAACACACACGCGCAGGCTTGTGTAAGCGCGCCCACACACACACACACACACACACACACAAAGCTGAAGCCGACGTTCAGTATAAAAAAGTTCCCTTTTCTCTCTCCCAGGCTGACCCCGAGTCCCCACAAGCCCCGTGCGGTGAGCCAGGAACCCCACATCCTCAGAAAGAAAAGAGTATCAGCACTTGCCCTGTGAGGCGGAATGCAGGCCCCTACGGCCACCACGCCCTGCCGGGGGCTGACCATCCAAGCTCTTCCGTCCCACCTCGGTGCGCCACCCCCCGAACCTGTGCTCAGATGTGGGGACAACCTCCTCTCATATAGGAGGCATGGGGCACCGAGCCCAGCACCCGGGCCTGCCGCCACCAGGCTCCCAAGTGACCCCCACGGCCCCTCCTGACTCCTGTCCCAACCAGGCCCCAGCCGAGGACAAAGCCTCTGCAAAGCTGAGTCTAAGGAGGGTCGCACCTGCCGCAGAGCGTAACAGGAAGCAGCACCTTTCTAGGGAAAGGCCATTCTCCCACCAGGGAGAGCGAGTGGCCCAAGTGCCACCTGAGGCAGACAGAGACCACTGGGGGACCAGGGACCCTGGAGGGGAAGGGACCGCTGACAGTGGGCCGAACAAGGTGTTGAGCCTGCCCACCTGGAGCGGGCAAGATGACAACTGAGCGGAGGCAGCGCGCCAACTGTGCGCGCCGCGAGTCCACGGGCCTTGCGTGGGCAGACCCTCAAGACGGCCCGCCCTGGGGAGCTCTTGGCAACACGGGACCTGCGGCCCAGGACTCACATAGGCAGGAAGGTGAGGGGGAGCCAGCCAGGACTGCACACGGAGACAGGCGTGTGGGGCCCTTCCTGGCCACAGGGGCGCCAGGGTCAGGCGACGATGCCGCTCCCTGCAGCACCCCTTCGCCAGGGGCAGGGCTGAGGGGTCTGGCACCACCCTGGGCCCCATGTCCCCTATGAATCAAAGTTTACATTTCTGTCGGCCACAGCAAAATAACCAAAAACAAACAAACAAAAAATACCCTTCAAGCCTGACCTCTGGAGAGGGGATGTGGGGTCAGGTCACAAGGACAGGAAGTGATCTAGAAAGCTGGGCGCCCAAGGATACACCCAGGCGACTGCTGACCTCGCCCATCCCCTGCAGAGGCTCCGGGCACCAGGCCACGCCGTCCTCTTCCTTCCCACCAACTCCTCCCGGCAGTGCCGGCTGCCCTCAGGCTCTGAGCACCTGTGCAAAGCTGCCCGTCTGCCATGGGCCGGCTCCTCTTCAGGCGGCGACCACTGGGGTGTCACCGCCCAAGACAGGGGGGATGGCCTTTCACTTTTCAGAAAGCCCCGCGGTGGCCCCCGCTGCGCCCCGACTCATTGTGAAAGAGCCTGCCGCAGTGTGCAGGGTGCCGATGGCACAGAAAGATTTCACAGAAATTACTTGCAAAGATCTATGTGCCAGACAGGATTTTTTTTCTCCTTTTCAGTTTGGTTTTCTTATCATCCAAAGTGTCAGCATTTTTGAGTCTCTTTTATGGGAGCAGAGACAGAAGTAGGAGTGAGAAGTGTAAACAAATGACGGCAGCAGCCGGTGCCCACGCGGGCCACCAGCAGGGCGGCCTCGGGCTCCCCGCGCCCTGGCCGACCCGGGCGAGCGGTCCAGAGGCCGTGTGACCGACCGGCCAGATTCATCAGGCGAGATCCCGAGACAGGAAAGCCTGTGCGGCAAGAAAGGGCAGCGTGTGTAGCGCAGGCAGGAGCTCCGGCCCCACAGCCGTGGCCTCAGGAGCACCAAGGGAGCCGGGGTGAAGGAAACACCCCAAACGCCTGCCGCGCAGACCAGGGCACACGCGCACCCTTCCCAGCTGCACCAGCCTCACAGCCTCTAAGAGTTCACAGAGTAGAATCGGAGCGCAAAATCAGGGTCGGGGGTGGGGGGAGAGGTAGGCCAGAGAAGCGAGGCCACTTTTACACCCCACGGAGTTCAAAACCCTGACTCCCAGCGAGGGGGAGGGGTGGGGGAAAGCTGCTAACTGCAGAGAGGGCGGCCCAGCCACCTCCGTGGTCCTGAAGGCCCTGGGCCTGCGGAGGGGCCGAGCTCACAGCCCCGAGGCCTCACAGCTGTGGACGTTCCGTGTTTTCCGTTTTCCCTTTGACCCTAGCGGGGCGCTGTGTCTTCCCCTTCCGAAGGGGACCTCGCGTTTACCAGGGGTGGAAAGCCAGGGGAGGCTGAGGGATGAGCTTGAGACAGAGACCAGGGCGCAGGCGGCAGGTCGGTGACCCACAGCAGAGGCAGTGGACCGGGCAGCAGCCTCCCCCGGCCCCCACCACCCACGGCTGAGGTGTCCTGGCCGTCCTCGGGGCACCTCCCTCAGGCCTCCGGGAACCAGGGGGAGCCTCCGAATGCACCGGACCTTCAGGAGGGAGCCACGGTCCCCCTCACATGACTCCCAGGCCCCCTCCAAGCCCACCCAGGACCCCCACCTGCCCAGCGCTGCCTCCCCATCCCTGGCTGGGAGGTTAGAGGAGAGGCGGCCGGCTCCCTGCAGTTCCCAGCAGGACAACAAGAGCACACTTTCAACGCAGACACCCTGGCCGGGCTTCCTGAGCGTTAGGGCCTCCGTCCCGCCATCTGCAGCCTCTGGCGCACACACTGCGCCAGGCCCTCACCCGCCCCGTGCGACCCCCACACTCGGCTCCCACACTGGCAACGGCGACAAGCCCTGGGCGTCTCCGCCTCAGCAACGCTGAGCGCAGTCCTTTCCTCTCTGATCCGGCAACAGCCAAGGCCGGCCACCCCAGAGTTCTGCCTGTTGACCTTCAATGTCTTCCTCCAATACAGGACAGGCCAGCCTTCGGGCGTGGTGACATCTTTGGTCCGAGAACTGCTGCAGCTCAGGACTCCCAGACGAACGGACGCTACAGGACGGCCGGGCTGGTGGCAGCACAGTGGGGCCTGGCCGCTAGAAGGCCATGCTCTCAGGGCCGTGCACGGCCGCCGGGGGCTGCCGGCTCAGCAGCGGACAGGGTGGCAGGACCGCGCTGTGGACGCTGCCTCGCCGCGTCAGGGGCCCTAAGGCCGCCGCCGCCCCAGAGCCTGCACACGGGAGCCGTGGCAGCTTTGCATTGTGCGTGCTTTCCTCATCCATGCGCCACCCCCCCTCCGCATGCGAGGCCCTGGTTCCCCAGGTAGCTGACGGTGCGTGAGCCTGGGTCGGAGTTGTGGAGGGGAGGGGGGCCTCCCAACTGCCCCAGGGGCAGGCCGGGGCTGCAGGGTCGTTGGGAGCAGACCCCACCCAGGGCGGGACAGACAGGCCCTGGGAGAGGACCTGTAAGTTTCCTGATTCCAGGAGCAGGGGCAGCACCTCGTGTCCCGGGGGCCCAGCGGACCAGCAGGGCAGGACGGGCACTGCAGCGGTCTCCTCCACCGGGGCTGCCCCGAGGGCAAGGGAGGCTGTGACTGAGGTCGCCGAGTGACAGTTTACAGCAAGGGGCTCCCCAAGATGGGCGCTTGCTGTTGGCAGGACCTGAGCCTGCTTGAGACCTGAGCATGCCGTCCGCACAGCCCGGGGGGCCGGCGGCGTCGAGGGCGGCCCTGAGGCTCGACGTCCGGAGAGGCGCGGGCGGGCGGGCCTCCTCCCTGCGGCAGGGCAGGGTCTTTGTGTGGCACTGCACGCGCATGCCCGAGCGCTGCTAAGACTCCCCTGATCGCTTGCCGATTCTGGTGACGGCCTGTGCCGCCTGCTCGGGCAGCTGGGACGGGTCTGTCAGGATGGAGGTGGTGGTGCTCAGGTGGCGGAGGGTGGTCAGCACCGCTGGAAGACAGGAGGGGGCGTCAGCCGGGAGCTGCGGCTCAGGCGGCGGCTGCGAGCCCGCCGCAGACAGCACACCCGCGTGTGGTCTCCCACCCCCACATCCCGCTGGCCACAGGAGGGTCACTGGGCCTACCACCTTCAGGACCAGTCCTCGAATCCTACCCGTGTCCCACAGACACAGGCGCCGGGAGCACCCGCACCACTGCCCCCCGCCCCGTCCCCGGCATTCCTGCCCAGGGCTCCGCCCAGCACGCCCTCACTGCTGCAGCGGCCTGGGTTCTCTCCAGCGCTAAGAGGCCCCCTTTGCGGGCACCAGAATGGAGGGTGGCCGCGCCCCACCCCGGCGCAGCGCCCCGCCCAGCGCCCCGCTCACTCGGCCTGAGGACGGGCAGGGAGCAGTGCTGGTCCAGCCAGGACAGCGCCGTCCGGTGCAGGTCCTCCAGGCTGCTGGTGGACACCGTCCCCTTGAAGGACTCGAACAGCGGCTTGATGATGACGCTGAACTGCACGGGTAGCGGGTTAAGGAGAAAGGCGCGTGGCGGGGAGGGACCCGGGGCCGACCTCTGGGGGAGAGACAGGCCTGGGCGTCTTGGGGGTACCTCGCGCTCACCCAGAATGTCCCTGACCCTCTGACCGACCACGGAGCTGGCTGGAGGCGGGCAGGGCGCCTGCGCTGGCCGGGAAGGGGCCTGTGGCAACGACGTGCACACACCCCTGACGCTCCTCAGCCAGTGACGGCTCCTGCTCAGCACACAGCGAGCCAGGTGTGCGTTTAACCCACCTTGTTTACGGGACACCCCAGCTTAGCCTGGAACGTTCCAGAACACCAACACGAGCCTGCAGTCAGGCAAGATCACATGACAGCGATTTTCAAGCGCTTTCACCTCAGGGCACAGAAACTAATCACTAAAATTCTGCAGCACAACAAAAAATGACTTTTGTCAACCTGACAAAAAAAAAGTGTAGTTTCGATTCCTTCATACCAGACGGCTACTGCTGTGCTGGCTGCTGTCACTTTTAACCTGACGATCTAAGTGCCTCACGTGCTGCATGTTTTAAACATCCTCGTGCACACTGTCTGAAAACCACTGCTCGAAGACAAAGCCCATTTCGTACCCAGCTCTCGAACGGCTCACGCAGTTTATTACTGGCCTCGCTCCCGCGCCGTCCTGAAGCTGGAAGACTGGGTCTCACTGCCCTCAGTTGGGGGCCGTCTTCCGCACCCCAGGCCCAGGCAGCAGCTGACCCGCCGCAGGCGCAGACCGTCTGCTCAGGAGCAGGGAGGCGGCAGCCTGGGCAGTGATGGGGCAGGAGCCAGTGCCTGGAAGGGCCCCGCGCCCAGAAGGCCCGTGAGGGAGGCTGTGGCCCAGCAGGGCCCAGCACACAGGCGCACGCGCCTCGCGGCAGCGCCAGGCCTGGGGCACAGGCTCAGGCTCGGCCCCAGGGCTTTGGGAGCCCTGGTTTCCCGTCTGTCACAGGGGCGGCACTCACTGTCCCTAATGTCTCAAGGACGAGCTGGTGGCTGGAATGTGTCACACTAGACACCACCTGCTTCTGCAAGTGGCCCTGGCCTTGTCTTTACTTCTCAAGGACCCAGAGAGTGACGCTGGCCGTGCGGCCTCCCTGGGACACCGGGCCTTGCACACTGGCGGCGGCAGCCCGGTGCACGCTGCTGCCCCGGGCGCCCCCTTCGCCCCCGCCCCCGCCCCCGCCCCCCGGGGAGAACACCAGCCTTGACAGCAGCTCGGGGTGGACTCGGCGACAGCCACTTAAAACGGCTCTTTCTCAAGGACTGGGGCGCCGACGCCTGCTGGTGGCTGTGCTAGTCTGGGGTGGGGTGGGCAGAGGGAACCCAAAGATACAATCCAGAACTTCCAATTCTGCAGGGTCCGGCTCTTCACATATTCGTCAAACATGTCCGTCATGTGATCGAACTGGCGCCGGGTGACGGGGACTCCTGTGGCAGGGAGCAGCTGCTGGCAGGAGCTGGAAGGACAGGAGGGGTCAGAGGACGCTCGGAGAGGCTGGTGACCCGCATGGGCCCGGGGCGCCCAACGGGCAGGGCTGGCCTGCTGTGAGGTCACCATGCGCAGGCGGTGGCCTGGGGAGGAGGAGGGCGCCCGTCCCGCCGAGGGCACAGCCCGGCCAGGGGCTGTGGGGGTGGGGGCGCCGCCCGAGCCCCCAGGCGCCCGCCTCACATGATCGTGGCGTTGAGCGCCTCGACCTCGTCCCGCAGCCGCCGCGCCTCCTCCTGCATCTGGCCACGCTCCTGCTGCAGCTTGGTGATGTGCTCCACCGTCTTCTGCAGCGTGATGGCGTGGCTGGTCTGCGGGCGGGCGGGCGGGCGGGGTCAGGGCCCGGGCCCTGCTGCTGGCCCGCCGGCCCCCCCCGCCCCCCCCGCACCCCCCCCCCGCCCCGAGGCCCAGAGGCGGCTCACCAGCTTGGAGTTATTAGAGATCAAGCTGTTGAGGGTGTCAAAGCCCATCTTGATGTTGAAGCGCCTCTTCTGCTCGGCGGAAATGTGCTTCATCTGCCGGTTCTGGTGGGGAGTTGGCCCGTCACTGTGGCGGGGGCTGCGCCGCCGGTCGGCCCCTCGCCCCCTCCCGCCCAACCCGCTGCTGACTGCCTGGTGGACAGGGTGGAGCCTGCGCTGGCAGCTGGCGAGGGGGGTGACCGGGAGCTGAAAGGCTCCGACAGCAGCTGGGCGGGGACAGGCGGGACTCTAGGGAACCTCCCCCGAAGTGTGGAGACAGGACCTGAAACTCCCGGCAGGGAGCAAACGCTGCTGGTCCGGCGCAACGCACGGCCCAGCCCCGCAAACCTCTCCACTGCTGTCCCTGTTCCGGCAGCTGCCACTTCTGCCACCTCACAGTGGTCAGAGCTGCTGCCCCAGGCCGGCTGGGAGTGGGGGCAGAGAAAGAGGGCTTCATCCCAAAATTAAAGCAGCGGTGTCCACGCTTCCGATGCCACCCCAGCCTGTGCGTCCCTAGTAAGGGACATGGCTGTCCCTAAGTCCCTTGATACCTTCCTCCTCCTCACCTCCCAACCCTTCCTAGGGAATCGAGACCCGCAGGAGGCACGCGCGCGATACCTTCAGCACAGCCACACTTTTGGCGTCTGCGGAGAACTTCCCTGAGCAGTTGTTCTGGGGAGACTGAGGGCTGGGGCTCTGCTCCGAGGCACAGGGAGAGGCCTGCCCTGAGCCCGGGCCGTCGCGACCTGAGGGGAACAGAGACCCCTCTCAGGGACAGGGCTTGCTGCAGTCCCCAATGCCGAGCGCTCCCAGCAAGTCCCAGGGCTCGGAGCCCAATCCTGGACCTAGACAGCGGCCCCCCGAGCGAATTCCAGAGAAATCCCTGCCTGCCTCCCGGGAGGTGCCGGGGGGCCAGGCGAGTGGCCGGCCGCAGGCCTCGGGGGGCATCAGGGGAGCTCCAGGAGGGGGATCCCCTCGCAGCCTCCGACAAAGCCACCAGAGGCACCCGGGGTCTCCGTGGGGTCTGAGAGGCTCTCGCAGGCCATCTGTTCTGTTCCTGAAACTCCAGGGGACTCCGACCCCTGGACTCTTCAGAGGTCACTGGGCAAGGTCAGGGCCACTCTGACGGTCTCCTCGGGAAAGCCCCCCTGGGGCACTGCGGTCACACACCACAGTGCCGGGAGGCTGTAAGGGGCGGACGCTGACACAGAGACACGCGGGGGCCTTCCGGGGCTGCAGCGACCCCAGGCTGACGTCTCCTGGAGACTGCTGACGAGGGCCCCTCAGTCCCTCCTCTCCCTTTCTGGATCAGGATGGGCAGCTCGGAGCCGGGCCTCTGTGGGAGGTCGCGCCTCGGGTTCCCCTGAGCGCATGGGCCACCCCCGCAGCCCCCGTGTGCCTCGCCTGCCCGTGCCGAGCCCTGTTCCAGCCCGGCAGCGGCAGGCTCTCGAGCCCCCGCTGTCACCTGCAAGCCCTGGCTCAACCCGCGCACCCGCGCATGGCCCGCAATCCAGGAGGGGCCGGCCCTGCCGCTCACGAAGCCCCAGCCACCCCGCCCGCAGGGGCACTCACTGGGAACCGTAGCGGGGACCTGGGGACCGGCCCCGTGCGGGGGGACGGGCTCGCCCTGCCCCAGGGAGTCCTGCGCTGCGCTCGGAGAAAAGAGCCGGGAGACAGGGGCCGGCTGGCTGCCTGGGGCGCGGCCCAGGTCTGTCACCAGGATGCCGCTGCGGAACTCGGTGACTCCGGGGGCCTGGGGTGACACAGGGAGAGAGAGTCACTCCTGGCCTCCGTCGTGGCGAGCGGGGGCCTCCCAGGAGCAGGGCCGCAGCGCGGGCAGCGGGCTGCCGAGGCCCGGGCGGGGCCCTCACCCTGGCGACGGGCGCGGGCGTGAGGACCACGTTGGACTGGGGCACGGCGGGAGCCAGCATCCCTTCTCTCTTCAGAGGGCCCGTCATGATCACCGTGGGCGGCTGTCCCGAGAAGGCCGCTGCCAGAACAAGGAGAAGGTGACAGGGAGGCCGAGGGCCGCGGGACTGCCCGGCTGTGGCGGGGGCGGGGCACCAGGAGAAACGCGTGGCCCTTCGGCAGCCACTGAGGCACAGCTTTCCTCAGTGCAGGGCACGCAGAGACTACGCCACCAAGGCACCTGACATTTTCTGTAACGTCCCCTTGAAGGGACAGGAAAGAGGTGACCAGCACCATGTGCTGTCGCATGGGGTTGAGACTCGCTTTGAAAGGACACAGCATGGAAAACAGGTTATGAGATCAACCACGGCCGTGCCGTACGCTTTTTCCCACATCTTCATATTCGTGTCACCAATTTGCAAGCCTTGGGGACAGGGAACACCCCGGGTGCTGGGGGCCACGCCACAGCCTCCCCCGCCGACTCACCTTGGGTGATGCAGGCGTTCTTCAGTACGAGGGACACGGGCTCCGGTTTGGGAGCAGGCACTATTTTGGGGGGCTGCTTGGACCTCCCTCCAGTCAAGGATACAGGTTTGGGGTGCACAAAAGCTAAACAGGGCTGGGGAGGCCCGACAGCCGGCAGCTGGGGGACTGGGGACAGTGCCAGGCCATGGGGGGACGCTGCGGGGGCGGGGTGGCGTGTGGCGATGACGAGGCCCTGGCTCGGGCTGAAGGTGGTGGCAGAGGCGTCCTGCGTGAGGGTGGCGGACGCCGTGTGGGTGATGACAGCTGGGGGCTTGCCGGCTCCAGCAAACTTCTGTGGCTGCAGGAAGGTGGGTGGGGTCGGCGGGGTCAGGCCCGGGGCGGGCGGCGGGGCCAGGGGCGCCACCGGGGCAGCGGGCGGCGGGGCGGGGCCGGGCGGGAGCACGGGCATGGTGGGCATGGTGAACACCGGCAGGAAGGGCTGCGGGGCACTCGGCGCAGAGGGGCCGAAGTCTGCGGGCTGCATGAAGGGGCCGCCGGGCTGGGAGGCGCGCTCACAGCCTGGCCCGTCCGTGGGGTCCAGGGCGGCGGCCGAGGGGGACGCGATGAGGCTGTCAGGCAGGCTCACGGTGGGGAGGGCGGCGGCGGGCAGGATGGTCTCCTGCGGAGGGAAGAGGAGGGAGGGAGGGAGGGAGGCTGGGGCCGCATGGCTTGGCCCCACCTTCTGGTGCTGAGAACCGGAGTCCAGCAGCGCGTGCCAGGCGCCGGGACGCGAGGGCCCGGGGTGGTTCTCCCGCCCTGTTCGCATTCGAGCTGATTGGGGAGATGGCTGTGTCTCCCCAGGGGACTCGTTTCCACGAGGAACCGAGTGACACCACAGAGCTCAGACAATGTGACTGTTTGCACTCGGCTGGCTCTCAGCCGGGGGAGATCCTGTTTCTGGAGTCCTGCGGGGGTCCCCCAAAGTCCCTGCCATCTTCTGTTACAGGGCAAAGGCAGCCCGGCTCGCAGCTGCTCATGGGGTTCCCCCAGGGCAGTTTCAAGTATCAACTTCTAGAGAGGTCGCCTCTTCCTAAAAGGCAAACGCTGCAAGGACTCAAGTGTTCAGATCGATCTCAATCTCTACAGAACAAATTCCCGCCAGAGCCGGCTGGAAGCGGGTGGCCGGGGGACAGGGGTCTCACGGGACACAGGCACCAGCCCGAGCCCCATCAGGGCGACAGGCCTGCCCCCTCGGCTTTGTGGCCCCGGCACCTGGTGAGCGAGCTCTGTTGATTGATAGGCAACAAGTGAAAGCAGCGCACGAAACCTCTTTCCACGCGCGAGCCCCATTTTGCTTTGCTGCCTGCGGCCCGTCTGAAGAGGCCAGGACAGAGCTCGCCGCACCGGGGCTGCGGGAGCCTCCGGCAGGAGCACACGTTCACGCAGCCAGCCTCCCACCGCGCCAGTCTCAAGGGCGCTTTCAAGGGGTACTTGAACAATTTTGGGTGCAATACTAGCGTCAGGCACTTGGTTCAAGACTGTGCAGATGTGTCACTAGCCTCGGCCCCGGCCCCGGTGGCAGAGGGCTCCCGGCCAGCCCTGGGCCCCGCCCCCAGCGCCCTCTACCTGAGCAGGTGGGCTGTTGGGATCAGGTGCGGGGGCTGAGGCGGGGGCAGGCAGCATGGAGCCAAAGATGGAGCGGCTGGAAGAGAAGAGGTCTGAAAGACAACATCGGGGACTTCTGAGCTCTGTGTGCCCATTACTTCCTTGAATTAAAATGTAAACAAATCAGGCGAATGACCCCCACCTTATCCAGAGGGGTGCCAGGGCCAGAGAGCACCCTCCCTCCCCGGCTTCCTCTGCAGAAGGGGGCCCTCTGGCCGGGACCACACACGCTGGCCGCCAGTGTGCACTCAGGAACCCTCCCAGGCCTGGCATCTCCCACCCCAGCGACGGTGGGAGCTCAAGGGCCAGTCCGAACTGCTGGGAACTGCTGGCACCGGCGGGGAGGCGGCCGTGTCGCCAGTGCCCTCTGCTGCCTGGAGGGGGAACTGCTCACAGCCGCAGCCACGGCCAAGCAGTCTCTTGAGACAGAATGAGAGCCGGCTGCCTAGGGAACAGTGGCCTGGAGAAACTTCCCCGGCCTTGCAGCTACAACCAAAAAAGGAAGTAGTTCTGGGAAAATTCTAAGTGCTCCCCACGCCCTTGCCCCTTATGACAGGTTTCTCTGTGGAAGGGACACCCCAGTCCACTGAGTCCTGGGCCGGGGAGATGCAGGCAGCCGCGGCTCTCTCGGCTCACATCCTCACCCTGGAAAGGCTCAAAAGTGTCCATGAAGTCCAGGTTGGGCTGCAGTGGAATCAGCCCCGGCTGAATCATGTCTGCGTTCCCCAGATGCGCTGCAAGGACCAGAAAGGAGGCAGGGGTCGCTTTGCTTTCCCTGAGTTGTAGGAACACGTGAGAGGCCTGGAACGGATCTTCCTGGACCTGCTCACATTCTAGGGTCTTCCAAGAAGAAATGTGGGCAGCCAGCTGGCATGTCTACCTCCTCCCAGATTCATGGCCCGTCTACCCTCAGAATGCAGGAAAGAATGTGAGTTTTTGCCAGAAAGGTAAGCCGAGCAGGGGGGAGACGCACTGCCAGGAGTCCGGGAAACGCTCTGCAGAGACGCCCGCCTCCCGCTCCGATCTTTAGCCTGTGGCCCTTCCCACGGAGCGAGCTGGGTCACTAAGTGCAGCCAAGTGGGCAGCCATGCCCAGGGACGCCTCTGGTTTTCCCTGGAGTGACTCATGGGTCCTGTGACTTGGCTGAGGGGCCAGGCTCAGGGATGTGAAGCTGGTGCCGACCAAACCCCCTGCTGCCTGTGCCCAGTGACGCCACAGGCCCGGCAGCTGCCCAGGCGGCCGCGGCTGGCAGTCCCCACCCACTCGGCGCACACGGCCACTGGATGTCGCGGAGGCTGGTCACCCCTTCCCTGCTGCTTGCTCCAAGCCATGACGTGCAGCGCCTCAGAGGGGGCCCGCGGAGAAGCCTGACCCTGGGGGCTGAGGGGGGAGGGCACTGGCTGCCCTTTCAAAGTCAGGGACCCAGGCAGCGGGTTACCTATCTCCCGGGGGTTGGGCCACGCCACCGGCGGGTGGGACGAGAGTGTGGAGAAAAGTGTGTCACTGAATTCCGACATGAGCATCTCCGTGTCCAGCAGCGGGTCCTCCTCCATTGGGACAGGGGTCTTCCATCCATCGCCATGTTTGTTCCAATAAAGCGTGTCAACATCCTACCGCCAACACGGGGCGGGGGGGGGGGCGGGGAACCGAGGCTGCAATGGCCGGCGTAGCGCTGGGGTCGTGGCTCCCTGTCCCGCAGAGCGGGGCGGGGCGGGGTGGGGCTGTGGGAGGAACCCTGTAGCCCACCTGTCCCGGAGCTCGCCGACTCCTCAGCCCTCCACGTCCTCCCTGCGAGAAGGGGGCACCCCCTCGAGCTGCAGGGACCGCCCGTGCCCCCACCCCCTTCTGCCGCAGGGCTCCCTGTTGCGCCACCTCGGCTACTGCTGTTTCTTGTCGGAAGGGGCCCCCGGGGGGCCCCCCGCCTCTCACCTGGGCCAGGCTGGAGAGGTCCTCATCCTTGTGCTGCTGCAACTGTGGCGGTAAGGAGACGAGGTGTCAGGACAGCCACCCACCCTCAGCCTCTCCCCTCGAAAATGCGGGGGCTCTGGAAGCATCTAGGCCTCTCTTCTCTGGGGGGCGGGTGGGGCGTGGGGCTCTGCTCCCTGCTCCCCAGGCCGGGCACGGGTGCCCCTAACCAGTGGCTGTGGAACAGGGAGCCCCGTGCTCAGCTGAAGAGGCGGGCGGCAAGGATCCTGACTGAGCAGGCCCGCCCTGCCCCAGGGCAGCTGCCATCTGAGCACAAGCCGCATCCCTTCCCTCCTCTGCAGGGACGTCCCCGACCTGCTCTTTTCGGAGCCCCGGCCAGATACCCTTTTCTTGAAGTAGGTCCGCCACTTGTGATACTCCCGGATCACGACCTCAATGCGGCTCTTCCAGTACTTCCCCTCCGTGGTGATGGCCTGCAAGGAAGGCGCGAGTCAGGGCGCAGAGGGCCCCGCGCGGGCCCGCGGGCGCTACCCAAGGAGACAGCAGCGCCTGGCACCAGCTGGCAGTCCGCCCAGGCAACCAGCGCAGAGCGCCCACTGTGCGCCGGCAGCTCTGCTGGAGCGCGCCCCTCGTCTGGGCTGCACGTGGCCTCTACCTGAAGACGCGCTCGGTGCCGGGACCCACGGTCACCTGGGGGCCCTCGGCAGCGCGGGCCCCGAGCACTGGGGTGAGACGGGGTCAGACAGGCTGCATGGGCCAAGTCCAGAGCCCCCGACCCGGTGCTGAGGCGCCTGACAGAGGCCTGGCGCAGCGCCCATCTAGATGCCCGATTCCGCTGACTACTGCTGCACTTCCAAGGGACCGAAACGGACAGCCACCGAAGTCTCAGGGGAGAGTGGCCGACTTCTACCAGTATCTCGCTGAACTGAACCACCACGCGGGGCGCGTGTCCTTCCGCGACACCCCTGACTGTCTGATGAAGAGGAGCCCCTGGCAGCCCCGGAGAGCCCCTCGCCGTCAGACCCCTAGTGCCGCGCGAGGGCGCGTAATCCCGCCCAACCCTACCACTGCGCGTCTCTGAGGGGAAGAGCCCCCACGGGGAGCGAGTGTCGCCACCAGGCCCGAGCAACGGCCGTCCTCTGTCCCACATCGGCTGCACGGGACGGTCTTCAGGAGGCCGCTGTCCGTCCCCCCCCCCCCGCCCCCCGCTCTTCCCACAACAGTCAGACGCTCTTGGACAAGCTTAGAGCGATGCAGAAGGGCGTAAAGGAAGAGCGTCCCCTCCTCCTCACGCTAACCGCCCCCCCGACGCCCACAGCAAGGCTTCTGACCACCCTTCTAGACACTTACAAGGCTTGTGCAACACACAGACACGCACTTTAAAAAGCTAATGTAAACATACTGCCTTGCAACTGCCTTTTTTCATTCACCATGTCTTCATCTTCCCGCCCCGGGTGCAGGGCCCTGGAGCCCACCGAGAGGCGGTGGCGGATGCCCTCCTCCCGGCGGCTCGGAGGGGCACCAGCCGCGGGGAAGGGCAGGCGGAGTCCCGGCTGGAGATCCCTGCCTTTGGCCCTGCCCCCGAGGGGCCGGGGACTTCTCAGGGTCACCAGAGCCGATGGGCAGCAGAGACAGGCCCTGCGGTCTCCCACTGGGGAGCTCAGCCCTTGCCCGCGGCCCTCGATGAGCAGTCCCCCCTCCGCCAAGTGACAGTGACTTCCTTTCCCGGCCGCCCGACCACATGCCCTTTACCTCTGGCCGGCGATGCTCATCCACTTCGACAGAGCCGTCCAGTGGGGTGACAAAGTGGCACACGGGGTTGCTGCGCTTCTCCAAATCTGGGTGGGGAGGGGGCAGGACCGGTCTCTGTGACTAAGACCCCGAAGGAGCCCTGCCCCTCTGGCTGCGGCCTCTCCCCTTGGGGCGGGACCCTCCCACGTGTTTTCTCCTTCTCTTTCCCTTAGAAAACAAGATTTCAGAGAAATACAGGGGCCCAGGGTAAAGAGAAAGGACCGTGAGTGAGGTGTGGGGGTGAAAGGGGCCTGGCTAACCCAGCGTGGCACCCCGATCTCCCCAGAAGTCACCCACACAACCGGGCTGGGCCCGCGCTTCCTCAGACCTGCCAAGAGTGAGAACTGCTCCCGAAGCTTCAAATGCCCCCCTCTGCCACACCCTTCCAGATGCCCATAAAGAGACCCCCCGCCTCGCCCTTACGATGCCGGGCCCGGGTGTCTGCCCTCCTGGTAGGCGCACTGTGTTGTTGGCCGCCGGCCACTGCGTGTGCGTCCCAACACAGGACGCCTGGCAGGCAGGGCTTTCCCGGAGAGGCTGCTCTGCGGCACAGGCCCTGCCCCGCGCCCGTGGCACTCACACTGCATGTACCACGCCCGCCAGATGGCGTTATTGAGCCGGATCTTGTCTCGCCACTGGAGCTTCAGGCCCTTGAAATTCTTCCACTTTGGAGACACCAGCTTCCCACTGAAAGGCAAAAAAGGGGAAACTCAGCGGCTCCTTGGAAAACAAAATGGAATCAGAAAGTGCCACTCAGTCATTCCAGGCCCCCGAGTTCTGGATTAAGCCATTCCACGCCACAGGTGAGACTTGGTAGGCTACAGAAGTCACTCTGGGATTTCTTCAAAGGCACAGGGAGGGGAGGAGGTGGGGTGGTGGCCGCGGGGCCGGGACCAGGGGTCAGGGGAGGCAGCGAGGCCCCGGGCGGCTGACCCCTGGGGCTGCGTGAGGGCGCACAGGGCTCCCGGCCCTGTTGTGCCGGCCTGTGTGCACAGCTTTAACACTTCCCATAATTAAAAGTTAAAAAGGAATCTGGTAATTTCACAATAGATTTAATATCAAATCACACGTACACCTAAATTTACACAATGCTGTTTGTCAATTACACATCAATGAAGCTGAGAAAAAGAGAGGAAGACATCTGCTGGCCACAGAATGAAAGCCACGCTCCTCCCACCTCCTCCGTCCCCCGTCCCCGGGAGGCTCTGATGGTACGGGCGTCCCACATCCCCCGGCCTCAGAGCCTGCGGGGCCTCTGCTGCCTCCAGGCCCCTGCACACATGGTCCTCCATCCTCGTGGAGCTGCCTATGCCCAGGCAACCTGCTCATCCCTTAAAACAGTGCTCAAGCGCCGCACCCCCCTCCCCCAGCAGGCTCTGGGCTCTCCCTGAGCGCTGCTCAAACCTCGACGTGCGTGCGCACCCACAGGCCACACGGCCACGCCTGTCCCTGCACCCCCCTCCATCAGACCACAGCCTCCAGAGGGAGGGCCCTTTAGGCTGCCCTCGCTCTAAGCACCTAGCACAGACCTGGGCACGCGGCAGGGGCTCAGGCTTGTGCAGGTACGTAACACAGCCCCTGCAGAGCGAGCTGACGGGCCGGGGCTGGCCAGTGGCTGGCGCAGGGCTCCCCTTTTCAGGTGGCTTGAGATGGAACATACCAAACGGGGCTCTCTGGGTCCTCCTGACCACAGGTCGCAGTCCCTGGCCTTCTCCAAGCCCCTCAGAAAGCTCAAGTGACAGGCAGAAACAGGACACCAGGTACAACAGCTGAGGCCTCAAAGGCAGCACCCCAGCCACAAACCCAAGTGAGCCTGACAACCCAGGCTACACCGCGGCGGCCTGGCTGCACCGCGGGAAGGCTCCCGGCCCCACCCGCCCACCCAGCGCGGAGCCGGGTGGGGGACAGGGGCTCACACCGTCCTGGAGGCTGCGACCCCCACAGAGGAAATGTCACGCACATCCTCGTAGGATCTGAGGGACAGACAGCAGCAGCAGCCTCGGCTCAAAGGGTGAGGGCGTCACATGCCCCCTTCCTCCCCTTCTCCCTCCCCTCCAACCGTTGGTCCTCTGAACCCACGCCCACCCCACGTGGCTCAACTTTCACTCAAGTTCAACTCTCTCAGCAGTTTTGGGGTTTCTGCCACATAACTGCCTCCTAGCGGAGCTTTTCTGGCTTGCACTTCCTGGGTAAGGTTGGAATTTTACTATCACCTCAGCGTGCACACACAGTGGGTGGACCCTACAGCAAAATAGGGATATGTTAATAATCGCTTCAGGGATTCAGACTGAAGTTCGTGCCGAAAAGCCTGGTTTTTTAAGGCTCCAGGCCTGGGAAGCCCTCTCTCACATGAGCCGCTACAGCCACGTGGCTCGTCCTCCTGTGCAGGAGGGAAAAGCTGGCACTGTGTGCCCATTCTCGATGCCGCCGAGCACAGACCTGAGCCAAGGTCCACCCTGAATTCCACGTAGCTGCAGAACCGTTCGCGTCTCGTCGCAGAATCGGAGGGACAAGGCGGAGGAGGTCCCCTGAGGCAGACGTCCCACCTCGGGGAGCATGCGGTCGACCTACCCGACCTGGCTGAGCCGCGGGAGAGGCTTTCCAGGGGCGGTGCCCCCTAAGCTGGGGCCTAGAGGACAGGACCCACTAAATGAACTGAGGGGGCAGGGCCAGGGCAGTGTGGGGGCGCCCCAGACCAGGCCGGAGGCTCGCGAGGGCCGACCCTCTTCCCCGTCTTCTGCGGGGCCTTTCGGCAACCTGGGGTCCACACAAGCCAGCGGTTTGAGGCAAGACAAAACCAACCAGAAAACGATCCCTATTTCTTTATTTCCTTAACGAAAAAAAAACCCCCAAACTTCTAAAACTGACAGTTTCTTTGCACTGAAGCCCAGGAGAAGAGGCCACTCCTTGGTGCTGAAGCCAGAGTCCACATCTGCCACTGCGGAGATGGCATGAAGGGCAGGGGCAGAGGGGCCATGGGGGAAGCCCAGGCTCCTGGGAAGAGAGCCAGCGGCGGGGCCGGGGGTTGGGGGGGAGGGGCCCTTGAGGCATCCGATTGAGAGCTAACCACTGGGCTGACCAACAAACTTCGCCCCTCCGTTGTCCCTGGAGAGGAAGCAGGGTGCCGTGAGCATGCGCACGCTCGCCGCCTTCTCCGAGCGGTGAGGCAGGTCCTGGCGGCTTCAGGTGCTCACACAGCAGGGAGCGGGGTGGCCCAGAGCACGATCCACCCGCACAGGCTGGGAACCAAAGCTGACAGGCACACTTTCGGGGTTCTCATCTTCTTCCTCCTCGCTTGCCGGAACATTTTCGCTTTTCCTTGACGCTTATGTGAAATCTGGTCAGGTTTCGGCAGCAACAGGTCAGATTTCGGGGGGTAAACTGCTGTTGCACCGGCATCCAACACTCTCGGCAACCCTGTAATGTCTCAGCAGGTGGCGCGCAACCAGAGCCGTGAGTCCGACACCAAACCCAAGCCCCCCCAGAAGGAGAGTGGGTAGAGGAGGTCCAGGGCGCTTTCTCAGAGACTGACCAACCCGCCCCCAGCGCAACTTCAAGAGCTGAAGAAGCACCACCCAAGGCCGAGGGTCTCGAGGACCCCGCAGGCACACGGCTGGGAGAGTGCGGGACAGAGTTCCGCAAGGCTCCTCAGCGCCTGGCTCCTCGGTGATGTGATGATGTCGCTGCCAGTCTTCCCGGAGAGGAAGAGGAGGCCCTCCCTCTGCCTACAAGCCCCGACTAGGGAAGGCGCAGCCCCCGGCAGAGCTTGCTGGGGCAGCCGCCCCAGAAGGCCGCTGGGGCAGACCCCTGCTCCCCGGCCCTGCGCCAGCTTAACCCACCCCCCAGCCACGCCGTCTGACGGGGGTGGGGGGGTGCTTCTTCGGCTGACTCAGGATTAGGTCATCTTTCTTCTTTCAAGTGTAACCGAAACACAATACGGGAGTTTCTGAGACCACTGCCCCCCCCCAGTGGACAGAAGACTTCCTGCCTTAACCCCCAAACCTGCCCCTCCTGGATGCCGGTGTAGCACGTATGCAGGGCTCTCCACAGAACGATGACCCTGGAGTCACCTCACACCCTCCCATTCCCAGGGAGGTCAAGGCCTAGGTCTGAATCACCCCGCGCAGCGCCTGGCGCCTGGGACGTGCTTTCAAGGACAGAATTACTAAGTGAGGGGTCAGCTTTTCCACAAAGAAAACTCTTCGCACTCACCCTGCCACGCCGCCCTTCCTAGAAGGCAGGTTCGTGACATGAAACAGGAAGTTCACAGCACAATAAAGGCCTCTCTCAGAGCTGTTTGTTGGAATTAGCAAACACTGAATTCTCCAGGTCTGGCAAGAGGCTGCTCTGGAGTGGAACCTCAAGTGCAAGCCTTGCACAGACTGGAGCTGGAATTAAGACGAGGGGCAGGGGGCCTGGGCGGGGACCTGGGATCCTGTGGGTTCCAGGTGGGACCGGCTCCGAACCCCTAGGTGGACCGCTGTCTCCGAAAGCAGTGGGCAGAGGGCTCTGGGGCTGTCACAGGTCCCGGAACGGGCGTGGAGTCCCCTCGCCTGTTCATTTGACGCGACTTGCTTGTTACAGGCCATTTTGTCACCATTCCCAGGCGCCTAGGAACAAAACATCCCTGCCCCTCTGCCCCCGCCCAGCTGGGGCGGGCAGGTCACCAGGTGAGTGTGGGAGGCGCTGGCATGGGTGGTCCAGGCCCCCCTCCCCTTGGGAACGAGCTGCCTGCCAAGGCCCACGCATGCCTGGCGCTGCTCCTCCAGGGCCTGGCGGGGAGGGAGGCCCGCCCCAGTCCAGGGCAGGGCCGCTGGCGACTGCCCACAAGGGCAGCCTGGGTCCCTGGGCAAGCCACGTCCTCCCCGCCGACCCACTGCGAAGGTGCCATCACAGCCAGCGCCTGCCGGCTCCCCTTCACTGCGGTGAAGGATGTTTACCACCTCAACCACACAGCCCGGGGCACTGAGCACCTTCCCAGCATCGTGCGGCCACCGCAGGTGGCTGCCTGGGTTCAGAGTCCCATCTACCCTGCCCCAAAGGGGACCCTGCGGCCACCAGCAGCCACTCCCACTCCCTCGGACCCGGACAGCCATTCACCTACTTTCTTTCTTTTATGAACTCGTTTCTTCCCAGCGTCCCATGTAAACAGAACGAAACGTGTGGCCTTTTGTGTCCAGCCCCCTTCGCTCAGGGCAACAGCGCCACAGCGCGCCAGCGCTTCACCCCCCGAAGGCTGAACCACGTCCCGCTGAAGGGACAGACTGCGTTTTGTTCCCTTTTCCACCAGTTAACACACACGGTAAATGGCGCCACTGGGCACGGACTCCCGTTTTGGCTCCCCATCAGCTCAGAGCTCCGGCGTGGACACAGGTCTGACCACTGGGCCAGCCCAGGGGCACGAGGATGGGCGAAGACAACTGGGAACTTTGCCGGAGGGCGAGTGTCCCTCTGACTCACCACTGTGCGCCTGCAGGCCGACTACATGCTCCGCGCACAGGCAGGGATGTGCGACAAGAAGGACGCAGCTGCAGCGCTGCCCACGGTGGCGAGAGGCCGGGCGCCGCCGACAGGCTCCTCACAGGGAAACAGCTCACCCGCTGCGGAGCGGGGCGATGAAACGCCAATGCGCGCTTACACGTGCTGACCTACAGGCAAGCTCCGTGAGACGTGTTGAGTGGGGGCAA